TCCCTAAAATAACAATAAACTCAATTAAAGCTGAAAAAAAAATCTAAACATCTGAAAGAGTACAAGAAATAATATAATCAGTACCTATAAATATATCACTCAGCTGTTAACATTGTTACATTCATTTTAATTATTTTAAAGAAAAGCTCACACATGTATGCTTGTGTGCATACCCACGAAGTGGCAAAGCTAACATTACCTTTTGAAACTTCCTCAATCCCATTCTGTTTTTATGTCTTCTAAAATAACCACCCTTGGGGCCAGGGATTTAGCTCAGTGGTGTGGAGGCCTGCCTTGTAAGTGCAAGGACCCGAGTTCAATCCCCAGTACCAAAAAATAAGTAAATAAATAAAATAAAATAGCTACACTAATGCTTGTGTCTATTATTCCCACACAAAATGTATTATTCATTTAAAAAAATAAGTGCAATTATACCTATCATTCTGTAGGTTGCTTCTGCCACTCAGTGTTTTGACTTATCTATGTTAACATAAGTAGACGTGATTTTTTTATTTTGCCTAACAAGTAATGTTCCACTGTATAAAAATCATATTCACTTATTTAACCTACAATTGATAGAAACTTAGGACTTACAGTATTTTGCTAATTTCTTTATGCATACACATCAAGTTTTCTCTTCAGTGTTGGCTTTTTGATTTTCTTGACCATGACTGACCCAGATAAAGGCAGTGAGTCACGGGGGCATGCCCTTAGGAACTATATCTGCTCCCTGGCTCCTTCCTCTTGAGTTCTCTCCCTCTCTGCTTCATGACTGCCATGAGGTGAGCAACTCTCTTCCTCCTTTACACAGGCCCAGAACAATCCAACGCGCTGACCAATGACTGAAACCTCTGAAACTGTGAGCCAAAACAAATCCTTCCCCTTTAAGTCAATTTTGGTGAGTATTTGGTCATAGTATTGGAGAATATACCAGTTTTAAAAGCAAAGGACTTGAATAGACAGAAAATAAATATAAATGGCCAGTAAGTACATGAACAAACAAGTCAACATTACTAGGCAAATGCAAATCAAAGCCACAATGAAATACATTTTCACATCTGTTAGGGTGGTCTGAAATCTCACAGCATTTCTGACACCAAATGTATGAGTTTTTTCACACCAATACCCAGTTCTCCAACTATATGGACACTAACTGGGAATCCACCAATTATATTCATTTCTGACAACACCTGGAGTTAGCACAGACCCCATGGGTTAAGTGCTCAGACCCATAAGACTTCTTTACTTCAGATACCACCCATACTTCTGACTGGTCAGCTATAGTCAGCTATAGTCAGGGAGTTCCCACAATCCCCTCCTCAAGTTTGGTCATTTGCTAAAATAGCTCTCAAAACTGAGGAAAACAGAGCAGGGGATTTAGCTTAGTGGTGCCGCACCTGCCTCACAAGCTCAAGGTTATGAGTTTGATGCCTAGTACAAACAAAACAAAACAAAAAAACCCTCTGGTAAACGGCTTACTTACTATGAACAGTTTGTTATAATGTAAATAACTCTGAGACAGCCAAATGGAAGAAATGCTTTGAGAAAAGTGTGAGGAAGAGCTTGTGGTGTCCAGGCTCTCTCTGCATATGGCATACTCAGCACTTCAATGTGTTCACTTATCCAGAAAGTCTCAAACCTTGTAGTTCATGGGTTTTGTTTGGTTTTATGTACTAGGGATTGAAGGCAGGGCCTGAACACTGAGCTACAAACCCTACCATTTCTCATTTTGAGACAGGGTCATGCTAAGGTGTCCAGCATTGCCTTGATCTTGTGACCCTTCTACCTCAGCCTTCTGAGCCACTAGAATTAAAGGTGTGTGCCACATATCAGGTTAATTTGGGGGTTTTTATGGAGATTCCTTTACTTAGCATGAATAAGTGGTTGACAATCAGTGAGTGAGGTCAACTATTAGCCCCTCATTTCTCCCAGCCCCAGAAGGTTAAAGGCAGGCCTGAAAGTTCCAACCTTATAAATCATATGGTTGGTTCCTCTGGCAACTAGCCCCCATCTTAAAGCTAACTAGGGGTCCAGCAAGAGTCAGCTTATTAGAATAAACTCAGGTTTGGTTGAAAAGGACTTGCTATGAATAACAAAAGATTCTCCTATTAACCCTAACACTCAGGAAATTCCAGGAGTTGTAGAAGTTATGTGGAATCATAGCCCATTATCAAATATATGTATTATCATAGATAGAATTAAAAAAATAGATGTAGAGAAATTGGGAGTACAGTTTTAGCATATTTTACACTAGAGTAAGAATGCTGTAGAAAACAGTTTAGTGGTTTCTTAAAACGCCAATAGATGACCCAGTAATTCCATTCCTAGGTACATAACTAAGAGAATGAAAAACAGGAATTCAGATAGGAGCGGCATTATTCATAACAGCGAAAAGGTAGAAACAACCAAATATCAGATGAATAGATAAATAAAATATGGTATATTCATACAATGAAATATTATTCACCTATAAAAAATGTTACAATGCATGCCACAACCTGGATGAGCCTTAAAAATGTTATGCTAAGTGGGAAAAAACAGATACAAAAGGAGATATATCATATGTTATGGTTCATATCTAGATGCCCCCCTAAAGCTTCATGTGCTCATAGGTGTGGCTTTTGAAAGGTGACTAGATCATGAGGGCAGTATAGTTGATTTGCTCTTAGGATGTGGAGGCTGGTTGAAAGATACAGGCACCTCAGGAATGATTTGGAAGGGCGTATTTCCCTCCCTGGCTCCTCCCTTCTCTCTCTGCTTCCTGGCTACCAAGTGACATGAGCAGCTCTCCTCTGTGCAACACCTTTCCACAATGCCACCGACCATGTAGGGACTGAAACTCCTAAACTTTGAGGCAAAATAAATATCTCCTCCTTTAATTGGATGGTGTGGATACTGAGTCCCAGCAAGGAGTGAGTAAGTGAGTGACACTCACCTGATCATTAACTTTCTCTCCCAGTCTTTTTACTGTAGCTTCTGAAACATTTAATCCCTGGTAGACAAACTGCCCACCTGTTGGCAGAATGCTCCCTTCTAAGAAAAATTTGTTTAAAAGAAATTTGGCTCTTCCATGAGGATATTTCTCTATAGTTATCACCTTTTACCTTGGTACTACTAACTGTACTTTTGAGGCTTCTCAACACTGTTTTCCATTTGCACTCCTTTACTCTCCATTCCCCCGCAGTTGAACAGCCTCACTCATTGAGATATTTGAAACTCTATCCTAAGCCCTGACATAAAACTGGATGGACAGCCTAGGTCGTTGGATGGCTCTTCTCAACACTGATGTTCTAGATTCCATGGCCACACTACCTCCCCTGCCACTCTTGCATCTCTACAATTTTTTGCCCCAATATTTCTTCCTTTTAAACTTGCCTTTTCTCACACCTTTACATCAAACTCACTCACTATAAAGACAATTCTGCATCCTGACACAGATATCAAATTGTTATTACTACCAGGCAATATCTTCTCCTACTTTCTGTCTCCACACCTAAACATATCTATACTTATGAGTTTTCCTCAAGCTCAAGGGGTACCCTTACCATACCTCTTAGAGGAACACGCTTAATCTTCTCCTTCAACTGATATCTGTAACTATCTCCTTCAATGACCTCTTGATCTATATCAAAATCTTGTAACTTAAAAAAAAGATCCATATTCTTTAAAGCATTACTAAATATGTTTCCTATCATTCTCATGTAAATTTATTTAAAATGGATACTATATTGACGTTTTCTACTTTATCTTGCTCTTCAGACTGGAATCTAGTTTATTTCAGACCTATAATTCTACTTAAATTAAACTGATAATGCTAAGATTAGAGAAGCACCCTACCTGCCAAATCCAATGAATATTTTTCAATTCATTTCTTACAGACTGCATCTGACAATTTCCTGTTTTGAAAATCTTTGCTCCTGTGGCTTATGTGATGCTGCATACTCTTGCTTCTCCTGGCATTGGATCTTTTTAGTCACTTTTCCCTCAGCTCAGCTCAGTTGATATTTTACTCCACTAGTTGATATTTTACTTGTCAAGGGTCTGCTATTGATTATTCTAAAACTTGTTTAAATATCACTTAGATAAATAAAAGAAGAATCTAGAAAAAAAGGATGGCTTCTATGTAATAAAAGCTATACTTTTGGAAAGACTTGATTTAAATGAATTGTTTTTACAAAGCTCTTGTCAAATTAGGCATTGACAAGAAAACTATAAAGATAGGGCAAAACTCTAAAACAATGAGAAGGTACCTGCTTTTCAAAGGGGGTATCACTGGCATTTTGGGCCAGAAAATTCTCCATTGTGCTATAGGATAACATGTTTAACATGTTATAAGATGTTTATAATCACTGAGCCCCACATAATAAGTATCATAGTGTTCCACCCTAAATGTCTCCCCACCCCTCATGACTGTCAACTAAAAACTGCTCTCACAGATTTCTACTTGAGATTTAATGGCAGAAGAATTATGCACTCGGTTTTCTTTGTAAGTAGTTCAATTTGTCCCTCTTTGAAGAAACAAATTATAAAAAATAGAAAAGGTATTTGAGATGTGGGTGGGGTATACACACACAGAAAAAACACGTAACACCAATAAGCAGACTCACAGGCAAAGAAGGGGTTATGTGAGTACTCTGCATCAATAGTTAGCTCATTAAGGACATATTCCTAAGTGAAATTAATAGAAAACACATGTGTAAATACTGTATAGTTTCTCTGGTGTGATAAACTAAAAGTGGAAATAAGGATGAAAATGTATAATTGATATTGTGAAATAGGAAGAAAATGTCTAAAGGAGTAGAAGTGGGAGGGGTAGGGGAAAGGCAAGAAGGGAAAAGAAAAAAATACAGGAAAAGGAAAAAAAATGGAAACAAAGTATTTATAAATAGGGAAGGGTGGAGGACATGAAGGAAGTCCAGGTGAATGGGGAAAATATAAGAAACAAGATATGCCATGTAAAGGTACAAGATCCCAATGATGAATGTAACTGTACTGCATACCTAAAATGTACTAATTTAAAAAATTAGCATCTGGAAGTTAAATAAAATCTTAAAGGTATTTAAGTATCTACTTTTATTTCTAGGTGCTGGGATCAAAAGCTCAACTACTGAGTCTATCGTACAGAGCTATTTAATCAGATCACAATTACCTGAGTAGTCTGTGGAAAAAGTTAGTGTCTTGTGTACTTCTTAGGTATTTTTGTAAGTTGCCAACTTCAGAAAATTCTTTTTTTTTTTTTTTTGGTACTGGGCATCAAACTCGGGTCCTTGCACTTGCAAGGCAGGTGACAAAACCACTGATTTAAATCCCCGGCCCCAGAAAATTCAAATAAATTCTCTCTAGACATAATCCTTTTCTATAAAGGTATAAAGTATTTTGTGGAAAAAATTCTGTTGTTGAAAAAGACAGATCTGTGTTATTTAGTAACATATTTAACTTGAAACCTTTTACAATATATCCACTATTAAAATATACAAACAAAAATATTTTTAATCAAGTATTAAAATTTTTAAAAATATAGTTTATACCATAATTTCATAACAAAAAAGAGATACTACTGTTCTAATTAACTGAAGATTACCCATATTTTGGGGCATTAAAACCATTTCAAATGGTCTTATCTGCCTTTCTCTTCTCTGTATACAATACAAAGATTCTCATAAATAAAAGATAAGATAAGAAAGATAAGTTAACTTTAAAATAAATAAAAAGTAAAAGATAAACTAATTTTTATACATAGTTTCTATTACAAAGACTTGTAAATGGAGAAGACTTTTCATCTCTATCCACTGTAGAGATACAACTTTAACAGAGAACAGAAATATAACTAAATTTTCCCAATAGGAGACAAATTAGAAATAGTACAATAAATAAGATCTGAATAATAAAGCAGAAAGAAATAAACTTTGAAAGATGTTCAAACTACTGACTTGGCTTTTCAAATTCTCATTATTGCAGATATTTCAATTGTTATTTAAAATAAAATAGTAACAAGGATTCTAGATTAACAAATATTTTGTTTCAAGAAAACGAATTTAATTGCTTTCCTGGAAGTCTTGGATTAAAAAACAACCAACTAGATAAACAGATAGATGTCAGTACACAGGGAATTACAACCTAGGTTTTGAGGCATTTTTATCTGCAGGTTGCTAGTCTTGAATAAAGAAAGGAAATATGTAAATGACCAGTGACTGAAATGAAGCAAACAAATTCAAAAACATAAAATATTTCATTTTACTCATTTCTTGCAAACAAGTTTATTCTTTAGTTTTCACTTCTGTAAGGAGTATGTGCACCTATGCACCCACTTTTTACTTGGGCACCCTTCCCTTGAGCCAGGTTTGAGCTTTGCTTGGCTGCATGTAGTTTGTTCTCTTGCCATGGACCTACTGTATCTTTCTGATGGAAACACACACACGCTGAGTGCTCTTTTATCCTATAGTCTCACACAGAAATCTTTTTGTTAAATCAGCCTTACTTTGTTAAAAAAAAAAAGCTTCAATGAATTGCAGTATTCATAACAATACAGGTCTCCAAAAAAACTAAAAAAAAAAAACTGAAAATGCTGTTGCAAATAGCTATTAGTAAAGCTTTAGGACTGTTACATTTAACTAGAGAAATGATATTTCTTTACAGCATGAAATTTCAAATTATAAATACATAAATTGCATATAATTACACATACTTAAATTTACCTTTTCATCCCATTATATTAACCATAATTAAGATTAATGATTGGCTGGGCGTGGTGGCGCACGCCTGTAATCCCAGCACTGGGGAGGCTGAGGCAGGAGGATTGCTGCGAATTCGAGACCAGCCTGGGCTACATAGTGAGTTCCAGGTCAGTCTCAACTACATAGTGAGACTCTGCCTCAAAAAAAAACAAAAAAAAAGATTAATGATTGGTTTTTGTCTATGAACAGAATTCTGGGATCGATCAAACTTTGCTATGGTCTATATCTAGATGTCCCCCTGCGACTCATGTGCTCATAGTCTGGGCTTTGGACCACTGGTGCATGATTCTCATCAAGGGACTAGTCCACTGATTAGTAGCTATAAAGCCTGGTTACAGAAAGTGGGTCACTGGGAGGGCATGGCCTCAGAAGGTCTATCCCTTTCTCTCCTCCTTTGATACCCATCTCTGCTTCCTCACACCCTGTGATAAGCAGGACTCTACCGCCATGCCCTTGGGCCTTACAGCCAGCCAATTATAGAAGAAACCTCTACAAACTGAGCCAAAATAAACTGTTCCTCTTTATAGAGTTGTGGATATCAGGTATTATGTCTTAAAGACAAAGTAACTAAGACCAACTTTTATACAAAGGGATAAATAAATTCAAGAAATATAAAATCTTCAAAAATAGTTTTCTTTTCTAATTAATTTTATTGGTACATTTAAGGTATATAATATATTGACATTCATCATTGGAAATTTGCACCTTTATGTAATCCATTTTGGTTATTTTTTCCCCATTCCCCTGCCCTCCCTTCACCCCTCTACCACCCCAGCTACAAAGACTTTATTTCCATTTTTTCTTTTTCTCATGTTAATTCCATTCCCATCTTTCTTTTCCTTTACCCCTCCCATTTCCCCTTCATTTGCACCTTTTCTTCCTATTTCACATTATCTATTATATCTTTTAGTCCTTATTGACACTTTCAGTTTCTCACACTAGAGAAACTATTTGGTATTTACACATGTGTCCTATTTATATCACTTAAGAGTATCACCTCAGTGTGCATCCCTTTAGCTATAAATGTCTCTAGTTTCTCATTCTTTATGGCTGAGTAGTACTCAATGCCTTGATTTCCTCATCTAGTGTCCAGGAAAACAAGGAATAAAACACCACACACATACTCCACACACGTGAATATAATTTCCTCAAACTCTTAAATCCTACTATTATTTCTACTTCATGACTCTTTTCTAGTCATCAGATACGTAGCTATCTCCCACTGGTTTACCTAAACGAAGAAAAGGGAATATTTAATGCTAGTGAGAATTTTTGAATCAGCTACACACTTTAGCTTAGGGCTAAAGGACTATACACAGGGCCTCTAAAAACAGGATTTTAAGGCATATGTTCAAAAAGGCAATGTTTCTAGTAAGAGCAATGTACAGAATGTTGCTTTTTGTGTACTTACGATAGCCACATTTTTTACAGCCTGCTCTGACATTGTCCTTGTTGCAACCTGAAATACAATTGGATAACATTTTAGGGAATACATATTTGTAAAAATATAACTTTATCATAAGCAAAAGTAAGAAAATTTCTTTTAACTAATTTTTAAAATTTTATTTTAGATATATATAACATTTATCATAGGGAATTTATACCTGCACATGATATATCTTGCTTTTTCTTTTTTTCCCATTCCCCTCCCTTTAACCTTCCTCTCCTTATTTACAAAAGCTTTGTTTCCATTTTTCCTTCTGTTCTTTTTCTTGTCCCTTCCTTCCTTTCCCTCTCCCCCACCCTTGTTCCCCTTCCCATTTGAACATTTTATTTTTTATTTTTTGGTACCAGGGATCAAACTCAGGTCCTTGTGCTTGCAAGGCAGGTGGTAGAACCTCTGAGCTAAATCCCCAGACCCCTATTTGAACATTTTAAGAAAATTTCTTGAAAAGAAAAAATAAAAATTATCTACAACTCACTTTAGTAACACCAATTACTATCACTATTAAAAATTAATTTACTCAAGCCAATTTACTCAAATTATTTAACATTTACTTCAAGAACATATTTTTTTCCTGATTAAATAGAAACAAGGAATTATGGTCAAGAATTTAAACATTTCAGGAATTCTATGACACTGAGGAAGAAATTTCAGGATACTTTGGTCTGTCTCTCTAATGTATAATAATTATACACATACATATATATGTGTGGGAGCCGGCCATAGCCCGCTGACATTTGACATTGGAAAAATAACTTCTTCTACCATTGAGGCATTGATACAATCTATGACTGTTTGTTTATTTGGCTTTTCTGAGACAGGGTCTCAGCTATGCAGATGAGATTGACCTGGAGCTCACTATGTAATCCAGACTGGTTTTATGGATTACAGGTGTGCACCACCACACCAGGCTCAAGGACCTTGTTAAATTTGTTTGTTCTTTGACCCTGTGATGGGAGGAACCCGGAGATAGCCAAAGATCTGATCTTCTCTGTAAGAGTAAGAAAATCCGGTCTTTGCATAACAATAGTTGCTTGATGCTTCCTGTTGGCCTGCCTTTAAAAGGAGCTGTTTCTGTGTAATAAATCGGACCTCTTGTCTCCACACTATTGAGTGTGCTGTCCTTTCTCAATCCTCACTCCCCAACTCAGGTACGTTCATGTTGTGACGGCTGGACCGCCACATATATGTAAAATTTAATATGTAGATAAATAAGTTAAATGTTTTTCAAAACAACTCTAACTTTCTTAAGGGAATTGATGGAATTTCAGAACATTTATGGTAATTGCTACATACTGTAAGAAATACCCAAATTCAATGCTCAAATTTTGACGAGAAAAGAAATTGTCTCTGATGAATTCTAACAAATTTTTACAAATATTTACAGTACTCTTGTAAATTCAGCACTATGTAAATAATTGTGAAGATAAAAATACTAGGGATGAAATAAAACTAATTTTTCTATTTTACATAAGTTTACCATTTAGTCACCTTTAAACATATAATTTTGTAGCATTAAGTACATTCACAATGTTGTACACCATTATCTATTTCTAAGAGATTTTCATTATCCCAAACACCAACTGTACCCATTTAATAAATGCATGTTCCCTCATCTTTCTAGCCCCTGGTAATTTCTAGTCTACTTTCTGACTCTAAAGATTTGCCACAGATATGGTGAAATCATACAGTATTTGTCCTTTTGAATACAGTTTATTTCCCTTAGCAGAATATTTTCCAGTATCAACTATATTATAGCATGTATCAAAATTGCATTTATTTTTTGTGACTAAATGCTATTCCATTGTATGCATACGTAGTTAAAAGTAATTTGAACTTCCAATAGTGTTGTCAATCAACTATTGAGAGCCCCAGATCAGTATTATACTATTTCCTTAATAAATGATATCTAACTTCTAAACCCTTCAAATAGAAATATCATTTCAATGCAATAATATATCAAAACACATGTAGTACATAATATGAAATGCTCATTTTACATGAGAAATAATTTCAAACTAATTTTTAATAAGAAGTTAAAACACTATTTTTCCCTAATCCTAAATTATTTCTTCAATATACTTTTGAGTTGTTCTAATAAAAGCAGTTCTCCTGTAATGCTTGTTTTAAAAATGCAAATATTGTTTTAATGTAACTGATAACATTACAGAATAATGGAGTAACTTTCACGGGGGAAAAGTTAAGTGAATGTAGAAAATTGGATCCAGCTGATGTGAGCTGCCTAGAAATATACAAAACATACACACATATTCAAAACATCTCCAGCAACCTTAGTTCACCTCAGTATTGTGAACAGCACACATCCGCATCTGGTGATACAACCTTTCATCAAATTCACGTCTACACTCTCCTCCTACCCTTTCATAACAATGCACAAACTAGGTTTTTGGAAGTCTACACTTTAGGTCTTTTTAAAGGTCAAGTACCATATTTATTGTAGTACCTGTGGATTTTTAAATCAATTAGCCTGTAAAAGTGGGCTATTTTTAAAAATTAGGTTCCTATTTATTAAGTGCATCAAAGATAAATTTGCTGAGTATTGTTCCCCATTCTGACTTCCTTCACAAACCATGGCTTTTACTGCTAGTATAAGAATGTATATGTTACTGTAGAATAAAAATGGATTAATATAATCTGAGGTTCTTCCATTATGAAAATAACTGCATATTGGAAGAAAAACAAGCTCTGGATAAATGTTAAGCCTGTTTCCATAGAAACTACAGATGCTGAACAAAACTGCTAAATGCACTATTACTGCTCCTCCAACAGACTAAAAATGTTATGGACACATGTGAAATAATCTCATCTCCATATACACTAGAACTGAACTCATTAATGACAAAAAGCACTAATAAAACTCATCACACAACTATTTCATGTTTTTATAATGAACAAAACATGAAATTGTTTCTGGGCAGGTCACCTTCTTTAATAAAGTTGAGACTTTTATATGTAAAGAAAATAAAAATTAAGAATTCCAAATACAATAACTCCCTATCATCCAGCTTTTGGTGAAAGTAAGATTTCAGCTTCATTTGTTTTTAATTTTCATGACTGTCTAGCCAAGTGAAAGCTTCCATCTGTGACTCTGAATCCAAAACAAATAACACCACAGATCTGAGACAAGTAACATAATGAAATGGGACCAGTTTGTTTTGCTTTAGAAAACCAGCTTCTAGGTGCACTGATGTCACCTGCAGCAGCAATTCTAACCAAGATCATGCCAAATCTTGGATATGGGTTCCTTTGATTGGTTTCTACCTCCTCTTAGGTTCAGTAAACTCTGTTATCTTCCCTTCCTGCTTAAATTAACCAGTACTTTTCTATTGTTTGGCACAAGAGCCCTGCCTAATACAAGTGTACTTGAAATCTATATCAACCAAATAACAAGGCTATTCTGTGAGGCTCTTAGTTAGCTAAATTACTCATTTCCCCAATTTAGGCTCTTATATTGTTATGGCTTATGTCTAGATGTCCCCCGAAAGCCTCATGTGGTATAGGTGGGGCTTTTTCAGAGCTGGCTGGATCTAGAGTGTGTGATGATGGGATTAAGGGCGTGTGATTACTAAATTAGTCCACTGACTGGTTTGGCACTTACCCTGTATAAAAGGGGCAGAAAGAATAAAGTAGCTTGGACTTCTTTGCTACTTTGTTCTTTTCCATGAACTGTTTCTCCTCTGAGAGGCTCTCTGTTATGCCACCCTTCCTTGGAGCCAGCCAATTTTGGACTGAAACCTCTACAAACTATGACCCAAAATAAACCTTTCCTCTTTTAACTTTAGGTATTGGGTATTCTGTCCTAGCAACAATAAAGTAACTAAGATACAGTTCTTTTTTCTATTCATTTCTGAAGTTCGGTAAAGTTATTCAGAGTAAAATATCTGCACCCATCAAAGTTTTTCTTTCTAATCATGACCTGCAATCTAAATGCCATTAAAGAAAAACATATGTTTGACCACGGGGGGAAGAAGCCTGAATGGCAAATCCACCAAAAGAAACAGAAAGGCACTTGAATACTTGCGAAAAAATGTGCAATTCATAAAATCAACAAAACACAATTATTTCCATGGGGTAAAACCCAGGAAATCATTTAGAGAAAAAAAATCAATAACCTTAGGAGAAAAAAAAAAGGGGGGGTCAAAGGATCTGAACAGAAAGTTCACAGACAAGCAAAAGAAATGACAACATATAAAGAGATGCTCAGTAGTAATTACAGTAACTGAAATGCACATTAAAAACTACACTGGGATTCCATTTCACTTATCAGAGTAGCAAAGATTAAAAAAGGTTGAAGGCAGTGTTGGAAAAGGATACTCCTTTCAACACTGCTGGCAGGAGTATAAATTAGTATGGTACCATAACTGAAAGGAAAGCTGAGCTGGCATAATCTGTCAAAACTAAATGTATACTCTGCTTTAATCCAGCAATTAATCCTCCCAATTTACTTGCATTAATATATACTAACATATATAAAGCTACTCATGACAGCAGTTTTTGTTTTTTTTTGTTTTTTTTTTTTTTTTTTCTGAGACAGGGTCTCACTATGTAGTTGAGAGTGACCTAGAACTCGCTATGTAGCCCAGCCTCCCGGGTACTGGGATTACAGGCGTGCGTCACCACATCTGGCCAGCACTCTTTGTAATCATAAAATAATGTAAATAATTTAAATATCTATCAATATGGCACTGACAATATGACAAAATAAATTATAGTACAAAAGGATGAAGATGGTTTTTAATGATTTGTGATAATCTCGATAGATGATAAAGAGAAAAAAGCAAGATGTAGAACCGTGCTTAGGGTACACTGTCATTGTAAAACAGGAAAGAAATTTATTTTTATTGCAATTATTCTTTTTTTCTTTCTTCTAAGGTCCATCATTAGTATTTTACCACATAATGTACAATATATGTCAAAATTCTTCAAGCTTTACTTTATTTGTGCACTTTTTAAATCCATGTAAAGTAGCACAGAAGGTAATGGTAGGACCGAAG